TCGCTGTTGTCTCGTCATCCACATACATTGTAGGAAACACATCGTCCGACCCGGATGCCTTATACCGGAATCAAAGTACCGTTTGCGGAGGTAATGCTACTTTTACGATGAATAACCGATCGATACGCCAAAAAAGATAATAAATAATACTTCCATACATAAAGCCTTGAAATCAATGAGTCAAACCAAGATGATCGTTGGAAGTCAAAGGCTTAGGTTAATATCGGATGGTCGCCTCCCGCCATCCGATTTCAGTAGAGTTCACAATGGAAGTAGTGAAAACGAGTTTACGTAGAGATGCTTTCCAAATTTAACCAAACAAATAATTATAGAAGACCTTTTAAAACGTCAAATACAGGCTCTCAAAATTCGACTATATAATATTGTCAGAAAAGAATCAACCCTTTAAGACCTGGGGACATTTCGGTGCTAGTTGATCAAACGAGTTGATAGATATGCTGCCGGTCACATGATATACGCTGCACAAGCTTAGTTTCAGTGGCAGTGCACGTTTGGTTCCATCTTCTACACTAAATGATTGCCTGCTCAATGAATCTAGCCACTCACTCACAGAATGGCATGCCCAGCATTACTAGATCAACAAGGTATGGTGAATTACAAATCGTATATTCTGCATTAGCGTGGAGGATACTATTCAAACATTTGGTAAACTGGAAGACTTGGCATAGTTACCTCATTCACTTTTCGAACCCATGAACCACCGTGTGGAGTAACTGGAAAAGAAGAGGTCGACTGCGGAGACGTAAGCACACCAACCCGGTAAGAGCGTGTTAGAGTATACGCACTGCTACTTATAAAGACTTTTTTGTTAACGCCCTCCTTCCTGACACCATTCCGCTTTATTCACCCTGAAACACAAATGCCGTGAGTTAACGCCACATGTTAGTCAGCGGGTTCATTTAATGTTCGTGAATTTGCCCGAGAAAAAATAATTTTGTAGACTCAATGTGCTGCATTGCTTAAAAGCTTAACCAACTATGTCCCATGTCCACTTTCCAGAGTCAACCAGTGCCATGTTTAGAACCTTGTTCGGAATGTCGGTGGCCACTAACGAACAGATTACCGATACATATCACAGAGAGCTTGAGATACACTACCGGACTAAATGAGCCGAACTGGAGTCCGCCGACATATTCAGATTGAAAGGTACGATAAAGATAAGGGTTCAACTGGAGGGTTAGCACGTGCGTCCAATCGCGATTTCGTAGCTAACACATGTTGGCGTCCACTGACATATTGAGATTGAGAGGTACGATAAAGTTAAGGGCTTCAACTGGAGGGTTAGCACGTGTGTCCAATCGCGATTTCGTAGCTAACACATGTGAGTTGTTCAAAGCATGCACCAAAAAGCTGATATATTTTTTTGCATAAAGTTATGTGGTCCACCAAAACAAAAAGATAAGTGGATTAATTCGTAATTTCACTGCGCACACCAGTGGATTGAGGATTCATTAGAGGAACACTGCCATGTAAAGCGTTTCTAGGTAAGTGAAGCTCTTGTCTAATCTCTGCGTACTTTACAAGAAAACCGCAGACGCCTGGCCTTCAAATTGTTCTATGGTTTTCAAAGGAACTTCATCCGAAACAATATTAGGCATCTGATAAAGTAAGATGTTTATTGTGAAACTTTTCCATTTAGGAAATATTGTGCGCAATTCATCTGAGCGTTTGTGCGCCGAAAATATATCCCCTTAGTTTAACCGTTCTGAGTAGTATCGAATGATGACGCCCGCTGGTTGGACCATAAAATAGAACCTCATATTGAATCTCACTTGTTTCTTTGGAGTTCCACAAATCCATCCTTCAGTGTTTAAGCGAAAGGTTTCCGGCGTACTGTCACAATGAGCTCAATGGCTTCGTTATGTTGTACATGAAGGCAACTTAACCCGATGATCCGTTTAATTAGCCTTCATCCCATGATTTTACACATGTAATTCCGATTTTTGTACTCACAATCCATGGCCAATATTTACTGAAGTTATTTTAAAGCAGAGGATTTGGTTGAGTACCTACGTTTTGAACGCCATCACAATTTGCATGCCAAAATGGTCTCCTGTATGCCGACTTCTCACCAGCTGGCAAACACATTTATCCGACTTCGATTTTTGTCCCCACAGCTTATGCGTCCAGCCTGTAACATAAATCTTTCCTCCGGTGAGAGGTACATACTATGTGAAATGATTTCAGTGTTCTTCATCATACTAAGGAGTACAAAATTACTACGAATTGCGGCCTAGTTGAAACTCCCATTGGTGGTTAAATGTATTTCAATTATATGGCAGTGTGGGTGCCTTCAAGTAATACTGGATACTGCTTGCCGTTGATATTGCTAATTGTCTGCAGGAAGGATGAACATTCAATGTTGCATCCAAGTGTACGAAGCAAACAGGATCCAAAACAAAACTGCAGTGGAACAACATTAGAAAGCACCTTGCAGGCAGACGCCGGAAAACAGCGCATGGAAAATGACTGCCTTGGTAAGGAGTACAAAGTAAAAGTCAGAGAGAGGATAAGATCCAGAAACGGATGGACGCATCCAGAAGGCAGAGCGGGCCAGATGAAGATGTTGTTTGGGGTTACAGGTAGGGGAACCAGTGGGCGAGAGGCTACCGTCAAAGTAGGAAGTGAACGTTTGCGGGTGCGCTATCAAACAGGGTACGTCAGCACCGTCCCGTTGTTGCACTGATTTCTGCTACTCGTCACCGTTAAAGGGACCATGATACCCATGAGAAACCATGAATCGTGGCACCGGAACATTCTTCAGTGCCTTTTCTCCGTCTTCTTTCTCAATATTTCTTCCATTCAACAAGGCGGCTACAACCTTCCGTAACACGGGGGCCTGCCCCTGGAGTTGCATCAACCTTCTGGGATCTAGTTCGATGGCGAGGCCATTGGCCTCAATCATGATCCCGAGGGCCTCATCTTCAACCACTGCCCTTGACAGCCATTCAGCCAGGTGGTTCTCCTTTCATGGCACTTGCCGGATCGTTAAGTTGTGCTCTTGCAGTCGGATTGCCCATGGCGCGAACTTTTATGCGAGCATCTACGTCGGTCCTGATACACTTTAGAGGTTCGCGATGGGTCTCAACTTAAAACCTTTGGCCAAGCAAGTATGGCCTCCAGCTATTCAGGCCCAGACGATTCCCTTTCAATAGTTGAGTACCAGTGTTCAGCGTTATTCAGGACTAGACTAGCGTATTCAGTAACTACATGTCTCCGCTTTAGGTTTGCGCTGATAGTAGTGGGTTGCTGGTCCAAGAAACTGACGCAGGGACCGCTTTGATTTGGAAATACTACAGTGGTCTACCAGTTATACTGGCAGTGAGCCAAACTCCGACACATTTTACCCCAGACGTGTCACCGAACAAGGACGCTGTGTTCTAAATTCAGTTGTTCACAAGCCGCCCTCGCGGATACGCTCCAATACGGACTTAAAGTGAATCACGTGGTCTGGTTCCGAATCACCATACACAGCAACATTGTGTAGATCTTTCGGAACACGAAGCATTAGGCACCGGAATAAGAATGGTGTTTCCGACAAACCAAACGGCATGCTCTCAATCGATATTGGGTGTCCTCAACCGTGAATGCCGTTTTTTTCCGGGATTCCTCCTTGATAGATAGTTGCCAGTACACAAAACGCAAGTCGAATACGGTGAAATATCGGGAATCGCGATAGTGAATCGAAAACCTACGCACCAGAGGTACAACTACGTTCGCCTTCTTTACAAGCACAACCGGGGAGTTTTGTGCACAATTGGCTTCCTATTCCTGTAAATGGAGCGGCAGCGGACAGGGCTGCAAGGCCGAAACCATTTGGACGAGCGTGGAATTTCTTTTCAGTCCAGGGGTGAAGCCAAACTGATCTTCATCGTTCGTGAACGGTTTGGAATATTTATCGACCATGGACTATACTGAGAAGGCGTTACAAGAAGGAAACGTTTGGACTTGCAGCTTTCTCACGGCTGTGCTTGAGTAAAATGTAAGCTTGACTGCACACCTTTAGTCACCATCTGTTCCCCCTTTGAGTCAACTACGGATCCTGGGCTAATGAGGAACTCGTGTAGCACCGACCTTTTGCCTAGGCGTAGTGAGTGCATCGATACTCTGTCAATTCTCATTCGGTACCCACCCAAAGCTCTCACGGTTAGCGCACATCGTTTGCATTAAGCTTGTTTCTCCCGCCGTCTCAGCAATACCCCTGCTATTATATCAGTCAGCCACAGCTCCCCTTACCGCCTATCTCGATAACGGCCTGTGTATAGTAGACTGTGTCTATGCACCAATCCCAACACACCCATGAAAAGAGCGGTGATCCAAAGTTCTATTAGGTACTAGTGGTCGGGTGCGAGTGCGTTGATTCTTCCAGTAGTCAGGCGTGCCAAACATATGGCATCGGCTCGCTCGGGTATGTTTACGTGATTCCCTCTTGGTGGCTGCAAGCTGCTCAGCGATTTGGTGCACAATGTTTTTCAGGTCCACCACCGTTGACTCATTCCCGTTCTACTGCGACTGCAACGTGGCCACCTGCGCCTTAGCAAATTCCCATATCAGATGCACCAGATGCTCCACACACAACTGGCCAGTTTCTCTTGCCAACCGCAACTGGACACGAGGCGCGCGCTGCACACCTTCGGCGAACCGGTCGGAGAGAAGATGCTGGCGCGGCATTCGGTCTGGTCCCGGCAAGACCCAACTGCTGCAGGCTGGCCAAAGCCACACGCTAGCCGTCTTGAACCGCTTTATAGCCTCCTGGCGGTCGTCCAGCGTAGCCAACTTCGATACGAGGGCTTCCTTCGCGGCGGCTCAATCCAACATCCAACCTTCTGGACTCATCTAGAGCCTGCTTCGTCCAACTTTAAGTGTTGCGCGTTAATTTTAAAAACCAATTATCTGTATTCTTCTTAAAAGCGTCTTCCTAAACTCTCCTGGATATACATTGACATTCACGCAATTGTAAACGAGAAACAAATTCTGTAATGAGTCCCACCTTGCATTCGATCGAGGCGGACCTACGAGTAACTACATACTGCTGGCATGCTCCATCACTAATATCCACCATTAAACTGGTGGCTCATAAAAAGGAAAGTCACGTGGTGTGTCATTTACTCGCTTTTTATATGTCTGGAATTTCATCACCTAGAAACAAATTGCTCTGTATTCTATTGCTCTTCCACGGACTTAACTAAGCAATGCTAGGTAATAGACGTAAAAAAATATTTTATAAAACGTGTTAAAGAACCAACTGTGCATTAAAACAGGAACTCAACAGATTGTGAAGCAGTTGGTTACTTCTTCAAAATTGTGATGCATTGAAAAACGCATCCGATACAGGATCCTTTTGCTCCGCGTACGAATTTGGCTAATTTGGATAGCTTGTCGTAAAACAAAGCTGTATTTCACAGATTGACAAAACTTGGCTAAATATTATGTAGGCGTCAGATATCCCGGAGCAAGACGTCAGAGTCCTGAGTGACTTTTCAACCCATCGACCCAGCTGACATTGTCGCTTGATGGGATCATCATCAAGTGAACCTTGGGTGCACGCACGTCGTTAATGCATATAGTTGCTCTGAATTGACACAAGGTGGTTTTTGATCGGCTTCGGACAGTGTTTTGATGGACAACGTCTATATCCACAGAATTATGCATGAACCAGTATATTTGACCGTCAGATGGCTTGTTTCATACAACCAGACTTAGCAACCTAAACTTGGCAATATCTAAATTGGCGGGAAAAAACACGGCACTGAGTGGCCATGGAGTTGTGTGTCCAAGAAAATATGCCTGTACGTTGTTCGATTCGTCAACCGAAAGTGCAGATTTCAATGCCGTCAGAGTGCACAAACTAGCAACGGTACCCGACCCAAGAGACTGAACTTTCTGAACTGGTATGCTGTTAATAGAAACATTGGCTAATCGATGACTTTTACCGGGAGCTTGCATTTGATTTTCCATGAAAAGTTACATTTGAGCGAAGACCCAGGTACCTGTAGAATTTACGTTGGTAAAACTCAACCACGCCAGAGCTCCAACAGTGAATGACTTAAACGTATTTCATTTTTAAAACAAAGCTAGGGTTTAGAGGTTGTGCACTTGAACTCTGGGTGATTATGCGAATTTACTGAGTTCCAACGTATTATTAATGTGGTCTAACGACAAACCCATCAAAGAGCATGCAGGCCACTGTTCCCCATCATCATACGTATGGATAAAACAAATGGTATTGTGAGCTGCATAATGCCTTCTTACGGATTGCTACAGATGATCGTTGCGTGGAAATCCTGGAGCTGTTTGATTAAATTAGTATCCTTTCATTCAACAACCGTCTTATTATTTATTATTAGGTTTTATATATTAATATATTTATTATTAAGTTGAATCCACAGCTTATTATATCTTTAGTATTTTGTCTTGGAGAATACAGTGTCGCGGGTAAGATTTAAAGCCTGGTTCAAGTTCTAAGATAAAACGCCACAAGAATGTCCTAAACTGAAACTGCGCCTCAAATAAATGGGAGCGGCCTAAAAATTATAAGGTACTTTTCTGTCGGTACATTTAAAGGACCTATTTTTACTTTGGCCCACTGATGCAATCCTTTTGATATTCTCGCCAGTATCTGGCTCCCCAAACGGGTAGTACTATAGCGCTCTATCCAACAAGTCCTATGCGCTACATAAAGCAGAACTAGTATCGAAAAAAATGTACTAGATTATTTCGAAACAAAAAAATCAAGGAAAACTAAGCACACTTTCTGCGAGGTTGACATAACCCTTGTGCTGTTCCTGGAGGTCGTCGAAGGCGCAATATAAGGAGACAGAGAGAACGGATATAACGCCAAATAATTCACTGATTACAATCTCTTTTACGTACGATTCAGTCAGTGCTCATGCACAAGTGAAGACGGTTATTTTTATGAGCATTTGTTTCCTTATTAGCCGTCTCTAATCTAGCAGAATTTCTGTTTATTACCGTCAGAAAAAAGTCGCTTGCATCTCTTTGAGACCGCGTGGTTCCAATCCTTAGTGTACGGGGCTGGGTTGCTGTTGGCATGTAACAGAGCAACGAAATGAGGCGGCAGAATCGCTTGTAAAATTTTGGTTCAACAATGTATACGATCTTTAGTACTAAGAGTTGCCGGCCCTATTGTTTGGTGATTGTTTTGCTCAATAAATGCATTGTGACGTCTGCTGCAAGTACCAGATAAAACAGTACACTTAAATTCACAGCTTTGCTTTAGGTAAGTGATTTGTCTCAGATAACAAATCTCATAGGCTGGCGGGATTGAGAACAACGCTTTAGACAAAGAGCTAGCATCCAGTGAAGTAGCGTCTAAAAGTTTTTCTATTGGGTGCCCCTGTGTTTTAGCGTAAACTGAGTGTCTTATAAGGGCTCACTGGTTGGCTGAAGTGCGCTCATTTGAGCATTCCTATCAGATCTAAAGGGAAGATGCTAAAAGCGACCGCGAGATGTGAATTCACAAACGTGGTCAAGAACGAAAGGACAACTAGATATTTACTCAGGCCATAGGGGACTAGAGGCAACACGGTATTTTGGAGTTGGCTGATACTTGTAGCCAAGCAGCATCCGGCGTTACTGTTTTGCCTAAAATTTGCTGACGAAGAAACTCGGATTAGCCCTGTGGCTTGATTTTATCTTCGATTATTTGGGTTGCGAGAACTGGTGCACGTCAGCGTCGAAAGGTCTCGCAATAAGGCTCGACGGTTTAAATCTGTTTTTCTATTATTATCCAATAAACTTACACATCCATGCAGGATTTAATATTGCCATTTCATTCTCTGGAAATTTAGGGAGGATAGTCTCAAAGATGGCGAACTATTGGCAGAAAGTCGATGACCTTGCGCATATGAATATGGTAACGGGCGTTAGACATTATATTTAATGGCCATTTGTACGTCTTTCGCAGAAGAGTAACATCTGGCCAATCCTTGTGCAAGGAGACTGGTTACCGCGAGTAATTAAAGTGTGCTTATTTAAAACTAACCTGTGGCTGGTTCTGTTGCCTACGTCATATTCCACTTTTACAGCGTTTTGAAATAAATTAATTCAGGTTAAACGGAGTCGACATTACACCGGCACTGACGTACACCCGAGTTTCCAGTTAATCCCGAAATAAGCATAATTTAGTGTCATAAGAACAGCTGACTCAACAAAGTCTGTTGTCATGGACGATAGACCGTGGGGTTTTTGTGTATTCTCTTGGCGNTTGTAAACGAGAAACAAATTCTGTAATGAGTCCCACCTTGCATTCGATCGAGGCGGACCTACGAGTAACTACATACTGCTGGCATGCTCCATCACTAATATCCACCATTAAACTGGTGGCTCATAAAAAGGAAAGTCACGTGGTGTGTCATTTACTCGCTTTTTATATGTCTGGAATTTCATCACCTAGAAACAAATTGCTCTGTATTCTATTGCTCTTCCACGGACTTAACTAAGCAATGCTAGGTAATAGACGTAAAAAAATATTTTATAAAACGTGTTAAAGAACCAACTGTGCATTAAAACAGGAACTCAACAGATTGTGAAGCAGTTGGTTACTTCTTCAAAATTGTGATGCATTGAAAAACGCATCCGATACAGGATCCTTTTGCTCCGCGTACGAATTTGGCTAATTTGGATAGCTTGTCGTAAAACAAAGCTGTATTTCACAGATTGACAAAACTTGGCTAAATATTATGTAGGCGTCAGATATCCCGGAGCAAGACGTCAGAGTCCTGAGTGACTTTTCAACCCATCGACCCAGCTGACATTGTCGCTTGATGGGATCATCATCAAGTGAACCTTGGGTGCACGCACGTCGTTAATGCATATAGTTGCTCTGAATTGACACAAGGTGGTTTTTGATCGGCTTCGGACAGTGTTTTGATGGACAACGTCTATATCCACAGAATTATGCATGAACCAGTATATTTGACCGTCAGATGGCTTGTTTCATACAACCAGACTTAGCAACCTAAACTTGGCAATATCTAAATTGGCGGGAAAAAACACGGCACTGAGTGGCCATGGAGTTGTGTGTCCAAGAAAATATGCCTGTACGTTGTTCGATTCGTCAACCGAAAGTGCAGATTTCAATGCCGTCAGAGTGCACAAACTAGCAACGGTACCCGACCCAAGAGACTGAACTTTCTGAACTGGTATGCTGTTAATAGAAACATTGGCTAATCGATGACTTTTACCGGGAGCTTGCATTTGATTTTCCATGAAAAGTTACATTTGAGCGAAGACCCAGGTACCTGTAGAATTTANCGGCAAGACCCAACTGCTGCAGGCTGGCCCAAGCCTCACGCTGGCCGTCTTGAACCGCCTTATACCCTCCTGGCGGTCGTCCAGCGTATCCAACTTCGATATGAGGGCTTCCTTCGCGGCGGCTCAATCCAACCTCCCAGGGCCTCTTCTTGACTCATCTAGAGCCTGCTTCGTCCACCTTTAGCTGTTGCGTCTTAATTTTAAAAACGAATTATCTGTATTCTTCTTAAAAGCCTCTTCCTAAACTCTCCTGGATATAAATTGACAACCACGCAATTGTAAACGAGAAACAAATTCTGTAATGAATCCCACCTTGCATTCGATCAAGGCGGACCCATGAGAAATAACGTACTGTTCGCACGCTCCATCCACCATTAAACTGGTGGCTCTTAAAAAGGAAAGTCACTTAGTGTGTCATTTACTCGCCTTTTATATGTCTGGAATTTTCATCACTTAGAAGAAAATTGCTCTGTATTCTATTGCTCTTCCACGGACTACACTAGGCAATACTAGGTACCAGACGTGAAAAATCTTTTGTAAACCTTGTTAAAGAACCAACTGTGTATTAAAACAGGAACTCGACAAATTGTGAAGCAGTTGGTTGATTCGTCAAACATTAGATGCGTTGAAAAACTCATCCGATACAGGATCCTTTTGCTCCGCGTACGAATTTGGCTAATTTGAATAGCTTGTCATAAAACCAAGCGGTATTTTACAGATTGACAAAAACTTGGCTAAATATTATGTAGGCGTCATATATCCTGGAGTAAGACGTCAGAATCCTGAGTGACCTTTCAAACCCGTCGTGGTTGCAGTTGAC